GAGAAACCCTGCCTCCTGCAAGACACATCAGCGAGCAACCATGAGAACTCCACCTTACTACCAAACCACAGCACCAGCTGCAATTCTTACCCACGGTGGTTGGGCCACCGACTTTCCCCCCCCTCCCCCCCTCTTCGACTTGTCTCCAGATCCTTGTTCAAGATTTCTGCATCCTCGCCCCTGTCTCCAATTTCCTGCTTGCCTACTCCAGGGCCTTAAAACGATGAAACGTTGGCTGAACGATTGTGTAACTGCCCTTAGGTATATAACCCCGTTTTCTGTAACTTTTCTATGACTAATTAATGTAAATTAACATCCTATGACTGTTACACTGTAGTTTGTGTATATGATGTGGAAGTTTCCCACACCCTAGGTGTTTTCTACTAGACGACTATTTTCAAGACTCACTCAGCTTCGGTTGTATTGGCCGTTAGGCTGAGGGTCTTGATCATGGATTCTATCTCCAGCCTAAAGACTTGGGGTGAATCAGCTCGAGCCTCTGGTGAGAGTAAATGCAAGAGTTCATGAACTAAGTGTGAAGTTTTTACTCTGGATCAGCATAATTTTCTATGAGGAGTTGTACTGCAAGGTCATAGCCATCGCTAAGTAACCTCAGATGGGATACTACCAATTTAGCATCACCTGATAAATGATCTTGCAGATAAGAAAATTTTCTACTCTTCAGTAAGAATAGTTTTGAGTTTACAGGGTCGACGGAGTTGTTCCAAATTTTGTACCAATCTTCCTCGTCTGTTCCTGAGAAATTTGGTAAATAAATTGGAGGGATCGAGCTTCAGCTCGACTCGGATTTCATGAAACCGTTAACGTTGCCTTGTTTTGGGCAATTATTTTGATGAAAGGATCCAAACTGGTTTGAATATCATCCTCATATTGTGCTAGATCAGCCATAATATCTTTTAATTCTTCAGTGATTAATTTAGTGTTGGCAACTTCAGCCAGGTACTTTTCTATCTGGCGTTTGACTTGCTCAAATTTACTTGAAAGTAGGTTTCCAGTTGCACATAATCAACTGGAGATTGTTGAAGCAGATCCTTGCTTTTAATAACCTGTCTTGCTAAGTGACCTTTAAGTCCTATCAGTGTATGTTTTATTTCTGGAGTAGCCATGTTGGCTATATGATTGGATTTCATCGGGCCTATAATATTGGTTCTAATATAACTTGGATACTCGCTCATAAACTCTGAGCAATTACTGATGGAAGTAGCCTAGGGTTACATTTTCAGTCACTAGGGTAAAATCTTACCTCTTGAAGTGGTTGGCACATAAAATGTTAAATTGCATATATATACAGATGATTTGTATGCCAATCAGTGTCACTACAGAAATAACTTAGGCTAGATCCAAAGGATACCTGATTAACCAGGCTGTGACTCATACGTCAGGCTGCGAGCAGCCGCGTCCAACAGCCTGGTTGATCAATCCGGCAACCAGGAGGCCTGGTCGACGACCGGGCCGCGGGGACGCTAAGCCCCGGAAGCACCTCAAGGTAACCTCAAGGTAAGGTAGATCATCTCTATCACCATCGGAAAGATTAGTGACACTTCTAAACTCTCAAAGATTAAATAATTACAGTTATATATAAATGAATATAGTATAGAATTTTATAAGATGAGTATATATATGTAAAACACAATTCGTGTTGCCACGAGTTCATCCCACCCTATTTAGGGTCTGTACAATTGTTTAAATGGTTGCTTGGTTGGACAATGTTTAGTTCAGTACTAGACAAGTCGGGTATCCTACCCTAAATAAGGGTTAGCACAAGTAAATTAAATACAATATGGTGCAGTAAATGTAAAGCGTAGTAATTTATTTTTTTTTTTTTATTTTATAATAAATTTTTCTGGAATTTAGAGAAATATATGTATAATTTTAGTATTGGTAACCTCTCATGAACCTCAGGTATTTAATATGGAATTTATTAATTTGTTAGTGAAATTAACATGAAATTAATCCACACATTTGTTGGATAAACTTTGTGAAATTACCCTGGAAACACAAACCGAAACTGTCTCTATTTTCCGCTTGTTACAACTTGTAATAAAGTTTTTACATCTAGGCTTAACGTGTTTATGACGTATTAGAACGTTGTTACAACTTGCTATATTGGTTGTTATAACTGGTTAGGAGGTGTTAAAACTTGTTCGAACGTTGTAGCAACGTCGTAGTTTCGGTGTGTGTTTGGCGGGAAGTACAGCCACAATTTGGTCAAATTTAATTTGTGTGTAAACTCTGCGGAAAAACCATCACCTTTTATTGTGGATAAAACCTACGAAAATAACGCATTAATTAATTTTAGTGATGTGTAGTTATGCTACGTACCGTATTTATTTGGATTATTTGTTTATTAACTTCTATATTACCTATGTTAAGGGTTGGAGCAGTAGTAGTATAATTTTCAGTAACACTATGAGTGCACTGAGGTTGAGAATTGATGAGGTAGGTTACTAGATGAATAACCAGTCTGTTTCTACTGCTAATTATTTGTTAATTTATTGATTATTGATTTCCACTGATTATTTATGGATCACAAAGATTCCGGTTCAAAGAACCAACACATGAGGGTATGAGAACCAGGGTATTTCTTGATTTGACGAACCACGTGCTAATTCTGGTTCATCTGGTTCAAAGGAGACGAAAACATGTGGGGAAAATTGCCTTATCTTGAGGTTATCTTGAGATGATTTCGGGGCTTTTAGTGTCCCCGCGGCCCGGTCCTCGACCAGGCCTCCACCCCCAGGAAGCAGCCCGTGACAGCTGACTAACACCCAGGTACCTATTTTACTGCTAGGTAACAGGGACATCGAGTGAAAGAAACTCTGCCCATTGTTTTTTGCCGGCGCCTCGGATTGAACCCAGGACCACAGGATCACAAGTCCAGCGTGCTGTCCGCTCGGCCGACTGACCGCCTTGTGGGATTTTATTATTTATTCTAATGACAAGTATAAATTTATTTATTTAAGTATATATAACTTATATATAATTTATTTATTTATTCCGATGGTGGACTGTTTGATTCTAAAGTGAACTGTATGATTAAAATTTTCCCACAAGTAGCTTTCTACACAAGTTGGGGGTTTATTAATTAATATAGCCTAATCGAAATTAATCGATTGGCTCAAATTCATTACCAAGGGCTATTCTACAAAATGGTTAGCGTTAAAAATTTGTTGAACAGGTTAGCTGTTTTGTAGAAGATGGTCTGGTTACAGAACAATAGACACATCCACGTCACATAAACTTAATCCCTAGTAAACCAGATTTTAATGGAGTCCACAGAGTGCTTCGTGGAACCAGGTAATTTGTTGATATTGTTTCAGGTCGTCACACATTACTTGCCAGATTAATAAATGTTTAAAAAAGCAAAACATTCTTGTAACAGATATGACATGACACTGATTATGGTTAAATTAATATTAGATGGTTACCCATTTTTGGGAGTTGTCCTGCCTCATAACCGGGTTAAAATTTACTAACAATCCTGGTAATACAGAGAATTAGATCAAACCAGAAATAAGATGTTCCCCATAATTAGTGAAGTCGCTGTGGCAGATTGATTATAAAATCACTTGTGAATTTTGAGTATTGACAGGACTGCAAATCGTGTGACCTCACAGAATGACTACTCAATCACAATGGTATTCCTCCTCCCTCCCCGATCAAGCGATGCCTCGAGAAATTGGTTAAATTTTCTGCCCATTATCAACAATGAGAAGGAGACCTTAGTTTTATTTGTAATTTTATTAGATCCATTCATAGAGAATATTTTTGTATCAATTTTAATCCCTAGACTGGTGTTTTAGATGAATGATTAATATTTAGGGGTGTATATTCGGGAATCTAATCAAGAATGTATATAGCAGGAATCTAGTCTTCAAGCTTTTAAAAAATATACCCCAAGACAGTAGTGGTGGGCTCATGCAAGCAAAGGCAAGGGACTTTTACATATTCTTTGAGTCTGCCATCCCACACCTTTATCTTCTACCAAAGATTCACAAACCACCGAACGAGATCACAGGAACATGGCAGGGGAGACCATTGGTGAGCGGCTACCGGGAACATACGAGACCGGTAGACTGGATATGTACAGCCCGCATCAACCCCCTTCAACGACTCCTACCGGAACGCCTCCAAAATACAACAGACTTTCTGAACACGATAGCCAGCATCAGAGGTCTGGTTCCAAGCGGAGCCAGCCTTTTCTCAATGGATGTGGTATCGTTCTACCCGAGCATACCACACAGAGAGGCAGCCAAAGTGGCAGCAACCTTTTTTTTATGAAAACAAACACAAAATTACAAAACAACTACGAGAAGCAGGAGTATGGAGGCCGCCTCACAGACAGTTATTGGAGGAAGCAATACTCCGTGTAATGAGGGTTACCCTCCTTCAATTCGATGGTAAGGTATGTAGACAGACGAAGGGCACTGCCATACGAGCATCCAGTAGCGTAGCTATTGCTGACATCTTTATGGATGTAGTTTTTTTTACTTCAGACATACATGAAGTCAAAATCATGCCATCCGCTAGCCCTAAAGAAATCATTATCCTTCTCCCTAGGATTACGTCTTAAAAGAATAAACAGCAAGGACGAAACCTTGTACCCCCAGCTAGACGACCTATGGGAGATGTTTTGGCACAGAGGTTGCCCTGAGAAAATGCTGAACCTCACCCAGGTGAAACTATGAGGGAAGACCAGAGAAATCTCAGGGGTGCCTGAGAAGTTGTCTCAGGCACCCCAGGCCCACGGTTGGAGTATAGAAGATGGATCCTCCCTAACCTGTTCTTTCTTGTTTTAGTTTTGCGGGGAAACTAAAACAGAAACTCTGAGACGTATATACCTGGATGAGGGAGACATACAGAGACCACCCAAAATCCACTAATGATTGCGTGGAGGCGAGGTAAGACCATCAAGGACCACCTCGTCTAAGCAGGTCTACAACCCGGCACCCGCGACCCGACAAGGGAGGAGGACAACCATGTCGAAGGAACCCATCAAAACCCACCAGCGCAGACCTAACCCGACACAGGAGCCTGCACAACACACCAAGGTAACCGAAGTGGCTTTAGGCATTGTATGTACTAGCTCTATCTATAAAGCCAACAAACTTTGTAAAATCTCTTTATGTATGTACCCTACCTAAATAAAAATTATTATTATTATTATTATTATAATAAGTGTGTGGAGTGGCTAGGAGGGGCCTACGTGCAAACAAACAGTATGGTTTTCGAACAGGAAGATCCTCTGTAACAAATCTACTTGCATTTTATGATGCAGCCACGGAGATAGTACAGTAAAGAGGTGGTTGGGTTAACTGTGTCTATTTGGACCTAAAAAAAAGATTTTGATAGAGTTCTACACAAGAAGCGGTTCTGGAACATGCTGTAGGATTACAGGTAGGCTTCTGACATGGATGAATTTTTTTTATTACTGACAGACAGATTAGTGCAGTAATCACTGCACTCATCTGTCACACTCGTTCAGTCATATACTAACAATGTATAAGACTGAACGAGAGGTATTATCGGTGTACCACAGGGCTCAGTTCTTGCACCAGTAATGTTCATCGTCAACAGAATGGATCTATCAGAAGGAATACAGAATTATATGAACATGTTTTCGGATGATGCTAAGATACTGGGGAAAATAGGAGACACAGTTGACTGTAATGTCCTTCAAATCGATCTAGATAAAAATAAGTGTTTGTAGTTTCAAGTGGCATATGGAATTCACTGTGAATAAATGCCATGTTTTGGAATGTGGAATCGTAGAAAATAAACCACCAACAAGTTACAAATTATATGAAAAGAAATTAAAGAACACTAATAAAGAATGAGACATAGGGGTGGTAGTAGATAGTAAGTGGTAAATAGTAAATGATAGTAAACCAGGCGGCCTTGGAAGGGTTCGAAATTACGAGAGAGGAGGTCAAGAGACACCTGCTGGATCTGGATGTTAGAAAGGTTGTTGGTCCTGACGGGATCTCGCCATGGGTACTGAAAGAGTGTGCAGAGGCACTTTGCTTGCCACTCTCCGTAGTGTATAGTAGGTCACTGGAGACCTACCAGAAATATGGAAGACGGCGAATGTGGTCCCAATATACAAAAAGGGCGACAGGCAAGAGGCACTGAACTACAGGCCAGTGTCCTTGACTTGTATACCATGCAAGGTGATGGAGAAGATCGTGAGAAAAAACCTGGTATCACATCTGGAGAGAAGGGACTTCGTGACAAATCGCCAACATGGGTTCAGGGAGGTTAAATCTCGCCTGACTGGCTTAATAGAATTCTACGACCAGGTGACAAAGATTAAGCAAGAAAGAGAGGGCTGGGCAGGCTGCATTTTCTTGGATTGTTGGAAAGCCTTTGACACAGGTACCAGCATAAGAGGCTGGTACATAAGCTGGAGAGACAGGCAGGTGTAGCTGGTAAGGTGCTCCAGTGGATAAGGGAGTACCTAAGCAATAGGAAGCAGAGAGTTACGGTGAGGGGTGAGACCTCCGATTGGCGTGTAGTCACCAGTGGAGTCCCACAGGGCTCTGTACTCGGTCCTATCTTGTTTCTGAAATATGTAAATGATCTCCTGGAGGGTATAGATTCATTTCTCTCAATGTTTGCGGACGATGCCGAAATTATGAGAAGGATTAAGACAGAAGAGGACTGTTTGAGGCTTCAAGAAGATCTAGACAAGCTGATGGAATTTTCGAACATTTGGGTGTTAGAGTTTAAATCCAACCAAATGTAATGTTATGAAGATAGGTGTAGGGAGCAGGAGGCCAGATACAAGGTATCATCTGGGAGAGGAAATTCTTTAGGAGTCAGAGAAATAAAAAGACTTGGGGGTAGATATCACGCCACACCTGTCTCCTGCAGCCCATATCAAGAGGATAACATCAGCGGCATTCAGAAACTTGTATAAAGAATCATTCAGAACTTTGTATACCACATATGTCAGGCCAATCCTGGAGTATGCAGCCCCAGCATGGAGTCCATATCTAGTCAAGGATGAGACTAAACTGGAAAAGGTTCAAAGGTTTGCTACCAGACTAGTACCCGAGCTGAGAGGTATGAGCTACGAGGAGAGACTACAGGAATTAAACCTCACTTCGCTGGAAAGACAGAAGAGTTAGGGGGAACATGATCACCACATTCAAGATTCTGAAGGGAATTGATAGGGTAGATAAAGACAGGCTATTTAAAACAAGGGGCACACGCACAAGGGGACATAGGTGGAAAGTGAGCACCCAAATGAGCCACAGAGATATTAGAAAGAACTTTTTTAGTGTCAGAGTGGTTGACAAATATAATGCATGACACTGGTGGAAACTGAGTACCCAAATGAGCCACAGAGACATTAGAAAGAACTTTTTCAGTGTCAGAGTAGTTAGTAAATGGAATGCACTAGGCAGTGATGTGGTGGAGGCTGACTCCAAACACAGATTCAAATGTTGATAACATAGACTTCAGTTGGCCCCGGGATCAGTACATCAGTTGAATGATAGCTGAGAGGCGTGACCAAAGAGGCAGAGCTCAACCCCTGTAAGCGTGTACTAGGTGAGTCAAACACACACACACACACTCTGACCTAAAGGAGCAGGCTGTAGAGGAAAACTCCATTCATATATTTTAAAGCTGGTATGATAGGGAAATATGCCAGAAATCACTGTATTAGACAACCAGCGGCCAGAAAATCGGGGTCCAAGAGCTAGAGTTCCATCCTGCAGGCACAAATAGGTGAGTGCAGACACACACACACACGGGTGCCTCGCAGCTGAGTGGCCAGAGCTCGGGGGGTGGGGGGGTTTAGTCCAAAGGGCCGGGGATCGATTCCAGGCCGAGGCGGAAACAAATAGGCAGCGTTTCTTTCACCCTGATTGACCTGTTCACCTAGCAGTAAATAGGTACCTGGGAGTTGGATAGCTGCTATGGGCTGCTTCCTGGGGTTGTGTGTATGTGTGGGCAAGTGTTAGAGAGAAATGTATATAGTAGATATATAATAGAGAGAATAGATTGGTTAGAAAGGCAGAGTCCAAGAGCTAATAGCTTGATTCTGTTGACACAAATAGTAAATTTCAATAGAAAATATACACACAGAGAGGTGAGAAAAATAAAATTGGGGATTCAAAATTATTGATATCTTTTACAGCAGAGTCAACAGTGCCAGGGGTGATAGAAGCTGTGCTTTCAGCGGCATCACGGCCCAGCTACTCAGTCATCTTCATCACCGACCTCACCATCTCTACGGTTTGAATTTCAAATTTTAACCTGTAATATAATGCAATTGCAACTATAACAACATGTATGTACCAGAGCATAATTTTCCATAATATAATTAGTCCTATGTGTTTCAGATTACAGATCACCTGCGGATCCCGGGAGGTGTTGGCTCCTTCGTAAAGGGCTTCGACTCCAACGCGACGACGGAGACTTTCTTCTCTGTGATGTTCCCAGATATCAAGCGAGTAGGTCCATTGCTTCAACAGTTGGGAAAATGTCTCCCTTTGATGCTTCAATAAGTATCTTTTGGTTATTTTGACATTTTTGACGTTAAAAAGCAATTTTCACACAGATGTTTGCATTTAATATAATAATATATTAAAACTGTGGTTCCTACTACAGCTACTACAACTAAGAATAAAAATTGTAAAAATACAAGCGATTAGGTAATTAGTTTATTTATCATAGTAATAAGATTCATTTTATTTATATGGACTGTATGGTAGAGCGAGTCTGGCTTCTTACAGGTCGATGTTCAGTTCTGTAACGTTCAAGTGGTTGGATACCATTACTCTCCTCCGATCTATCCTAAATTCTTATCCTTTCCAAGTGTTACATAGTCGTAATACCTTAATATTTTCACCTTGTAATTACCTCAGTTAATGCAGATGAGGAGTCACAATAACGTGGCTGAAATATGTTGACCAAACCATACACTAGAAAGTGAAGGGACGACAACGTTTCGGTTTATCCTGGACCAATCGACTTGAGAATGGTCCAGGACGGACTGAAGCGTGGTCGTCCCTTCACTTTCTAGTGTGTGGTTTGGTCAACCTCAGTTAATATAATACTGAAAGAGGTTGAACTAGTAATAAGCTCACATCATACGAGGCTATTATTCCCTCAATAAAACATTCAAACAGCTGCGGCAGCGGTCATCATACCCGACAGTTGTTGTGATAAGCGACGACCTCGCCTTCCTCGCCACCTTCGTCAAGTGGTCCCTCAAGGGCCGCCTTCTGGTGTGGTCGACGAGGCTCCTGGTCGTCACCCGCCTTCCCCTCCACCACCTGCACCACCACTACACCGCCTTCTCCAAGATGAATGCCATGTTGCTGATCATCCACGACGACGACGACATCGCCAGCATAAGGTAATGTCGGACTTTTCTTCTGCATTTTGGTCTCTATAAAGTGTTATACACATATTCATGGAGGGGCTACAAAACCTCCTCTCAACAGGTGCAACGTGTATGTTCAGTTGCCGTTCAGTCCCCGCGGGACCCAGCCATTGTGGGTAGCCTCCTGGACGCCCCAGCGAGGCCTCGCTCTCACCTCCAGCCTCCCGCTCTTCCCAGACAAGTTCTCAAGGTGAGTAATATGGTCATTTACTTTTATATTCCGAAATTTGATTGAAGGGGCCGGGCAATCAAAAATATTCGCCAAAAATAAAAAAAATAAAAGTAAATTCTGATCCAATCTCATGTCATTTGGCATTAGCATCATAAAAAGTTCATCCCAATATATTAAGAAATGAATTTTATGCAAATTTTGTTAATAATAAATCCGGGCATGCCCCCTCCCAGCATTCTGTACCGATATATATATATATATATATATATATATATATATATATATATATATATATATATATATATATATATATATATATATATATATATATATATATATATATATATATATATATATATATATATAATATATATATATATATATATATATATAATATGTTTTACCTAGTAGCCAGAACGCAGTTCTTGGCTTACTATGCAAGGCCCGATTTGCCTAATAGACCAAGTTTTCTTGAATTTCAATATTTTTCTATTTTTTTTTCTTATGAAATGATAAGGCTATCCATTTCATTATGTATGACTTATTTTTTTTTTAAATTGAGTTACAGTTAACGAACATACATGACCGAACCCAACCTACCCAACCTAACCTATCTTAACCTAGCCTAAACTTAGATAACTAAATCAATAATTTATGTTCTTAATATAATATAATAAAAATATTTAAAATAAACCAGCTGGAAACATTTTATTGAAAATAAAGAAACTCACTCGGTCTATTAGGCACATCGGGGCTTGCATAGTAGGCTGAGAAGTGCGTTCTGGCTACTAGGTACGACATATATAGCCTGGTGGCTATAGTGACCTAGTGACCTCGTAGCCTGGTGGATAGCGCGCAGGACTCGTAATTCTGTGGCGCGGGTTCGATTCCCGTATGAGGCAGAAACAAATGGGCAAAGTTTCTTTCACCCTGAATGCCTCTGTTACCTAGCAGTAAATAGGTACCTGGGAGTTAGTCAGCTGTCACGGGCTGCTTCCTGGGGGTGGAGGCCTGGTCGAGGACCGGGCCGCGGGGACACTAAAAAGCCCCGAAATCATCTCAAGATAACCTCAAGATATATATATATATATATATATATATATATATATATATATATATATATATATAGTCCTGGGGACCATTCAGGCTTGTTCGCATATATATATATATATATATATATATATATATATATATATATATATATATATATATATATATATATATATATATATATATAAATTAATAAATATGACCGAAAAAGTAAGATTAATAATTCTAACACGAATTTTCTCAATCTTTCATACATTTCGTTTCACTGTTGGAGGTAAATCAAAAATCAATTCTCCAAAATTCATTTTTATTTCTAGTCTGACGCGACACGAGCGCGTTTCGTAAAACTTATTACATTTTCAAAGACTTTAGTTCACAAATACACAACTGAATAGAACTTACGCATCTCCGATTTTATATCTACATTTGAGTGAGGTGGAAGGGGTGATGTGGCATTAACACAAGACAGAACAAGATGTGGTATTAATAGGGTATTAATTTCATCAACACAAGACAGAACAAGAGTATTAATAGGGTATTAATTTCATCAACACAAGACAGAACACAAAACAATGGATATTGAATAGAAGTGTTTGTAGAAAGCCTATTGGTCCATATTTCTTGATGCATCTATATTGGAGCGGAGTCTTGAGGTGGGTAGAATATAGTTGTGCAATAATTGGCTGTTGATTGCTGGTGTTGACTTCTTGATGTGTAGTGCCTCGCAAACGTCAAGCCGCCTGCTATCGCTGTATCTATCGATGATTTCTGTGTTGTTTACTAGGGTTTCTCTGGCGATGGTTTGGTTGTGGGAAGAGATTATATGTTCCTTAATGGAGCCCTGTTGCTTATGCATCGTTAAACGCCTAGAAAGAGATGTTGTTGTCTTGCCTATATACTGGGATTTTTGGAGCTTACAGTCCCCAAGAGGGCATTTGAAGGCATAGACGACGTTAGTCTCTTTTAAAGCGTTCTGTTTTGTGTCTGGAAAGTTTCTCATGAGTAGGCTGGCCGTTTTTCTGGTTTTATAGTAAATCGTCAGTTGTATCCTCTGATTTTTGTCTGTAGGGATAACGTTTCTATTAACAATATCTTTCAGGACCCTTTCCTCCGTTTTATGAGCTGTGGAAAAGAAGTTCTTGTAAAATAGTCTAATAGGGGGTATAGGTGTTGTGTTAGTTGTCTCTTCAGAGGTTGCATGGCTTTTCACTTTCCTTCTTATGATGTCTTCGACGAAACCATTGGAGAAGCCGTTATTGACTAGGACCTGCCTTACCCTACAGAGTTCTTCGTCGACTTGCTTCCATTCTGAGCTGTGGCTGAGAGCACGGTCGACATATGTGTTAACAACACTCCTCTTGTACCTGTCTGGGCAGTCGCTGTTGGCATTTAGGCACATTCCTATGTTTGTTTCCTTAGTGTAGACTGCAGTGTGGAAACCTCCGCCCTTTTCCATGACTGTTACATCTAGAAAGGGCAGCTTCCCATCCTTTTCCATCTCGTAAGTGAAACGCAGCACGGAACTCTGCTCAAATGCCTCCTTCAGCTCCTGCAGATGTCTGACATCAGGTACCTGTGTAAAAAATGTCGTCAACATACCTGCAGTATATGGCCGGTTTCAAGTTCATGTCGACTAAGACTTTCTGCTCGATGGTACCCATGTAGAAGTTTGCAAACAGGACACCTAGGGGAGAACCCATGGCGACCCCATCTACTTGCTTATACATGTGCCCATCCGGGCTCAAGAAGGGTGCCTCTTTAGTACAGGCTTGGAGTAGTTTCCTCAGAATATTTTCTGGTATGTCAAGAGGAGTACAGGCTGGATCACGATACACTCTGTCGGCTATCATTCCGATTGTCTCGTCCACAGGTATGTTGGTAAACAGCGATTCTACGTCCAACGAGGCTCTTATCCCTGTGGCCCGTGTGCCCCGCAGTAAGTCAACAAATTCCTTTGGAGACTTCAGGCTGAAGGCGCAAGGAACATAAGGAGTCAGCAGGCCGTTGAGTCGCTTCGCCAGTCTGTACGTGGGTGTGGGTATCTGGCTAATGATTGGCCGAAGTGGGTTTCCAGGTTTGTGCGTCTTGACATTTCCATACGCATATCCAGGTTTATATTCCCCAATGATCTTTGGCAGGTGGAGTCCTGTTTTCTTGGCGTTCACAGTTTCGATCAGTTTGTTGACCTTTGCTTTTAATTCGGCTGTAGTGTCCTTCGTTACCCTTTGGAACTTAGTTTGGTCAGAGAGTATGATGACAACAAAACGCAACTACTTCATGCTACAAACGAGTGGAGAAATAGCAACATCGACGATAGTATCCGTACCCGCATTGAACAACACCTCGACATCCTCACAGACCAACATCACCTCAGCACTGAAACAAGGATTATCAAGAAACTAACAACATTATATGGAGGACCTATGGAAATTCCACGACCAAGAGATGGCTTCCTGAACCTTGCAGGAATTAACCTCACTGAGGACCAAGTCACTCTCCTAAATCTGGGCATAAACTGTCATGTTATGTCCAGACCGAGTGAGATGGCCCGGAAAGTAGAGTTGGAAATTCTGTTGGACAACATATTCGACCTCGAGACACAAAAGAAGGTCACTACCAAAGATACCTTACAAGCAGAACTTATTGCAGAAGGAGGAAAGAATCGAGGCAATTACAGAAGCACCATACTGTCCCCCGAGCTTAAAGCGGCAGCTAAAAGCCTTCGTGAGAACAAGGAGATAGTTGTCAGGAGAGGTGACAAGTCGCCAATATATGTCATTCTTAAAAAAGACGAATATCTGGCGAAAATGAACATCATACTCTCTGACCAAACTAAGTTCCAAAGGGTAACGAAGGACACTACAGCCGAATTAAAAGCAAAGGTCAACAAACTGATCAAAACTGTGAACGGCAAGAAATCAGGACTCCACCTGCCAAAGATCATTGGGGAATATAAACCTGGATATGCGTATGGAAATGTCAAGACGCACAAACCTGGAAACCCACTTCGGCCAATCATTAGCCAGATACCCACACCCACGTACAGACTGGCGAAGCGACTCAACGGCCTGCTGACTCCTTATGTTCCTTGCGCCTTCAACCTGAAGTCTCCAAAGGAATTTGTTGACTTACTGCGGGGCACACGGGCCACAGGGATAAGAGCCTCGTTGGATGTAGAATCGCTGTTTACCAACGTACCTGTGGACGAGACAATCGGAATGATAGCCGACAGAGTGTATCGTGATCCAGCCTGTACTCCTCTTGACATACCAGAAAATATTCTGAGGAAACTACTCCAAGCTTGTACTAAAGAGGCAACCTTCTTGAGCCCGGATGGGCACATGTATAAGCAAGTAGATGGGGTCGCCATGGGTTCTCCCCTAGGTGTCCTGTTTGCAAACTTCTACATGGGTACCATCGAGCAAAAAGTCTTAGTCGACATGAACTTGAAACCGGCCATATACTGCAGGTATGTTGACGACATTTTTACACAGGTACCTGATGTCAGACATCTGCAGGAGCTGAAGGAGGCATTTGAGCAGAGTTCCGTGCTGCGTTTCACTTACGAGATGGAAAAGGATGGGAAGCTGCCCTTTCTAGATGTAACAGTCATGGAAAAGGGCGGAGGTTTCCACACTGCAGTCTACACTAAGGAAACAAACATAGGAATGTGCCTAAATGCCAACAGCGACTGCCCAGACAGGTACAAGAGGAGTGTTGTTAACGCATATGTCGACCGTGCTCTCAGCCACAGCTCAGAATGGAAGCAAGTCGACGAAGAACTCTGTAGGGTAAGGCAGGTCCTAGTCAATAACGGCTTCTCCAATGGTTTCGTCGAAGACATCATAAGAAGGAAAGTGAAAAGGCATGCAACCTCTGAAGAGACAACTAACACAACACCTATACCCCCTATTAGACTATTTTACAGGAACTTCTTTTCCACAGCTCATAAAACGGAGGAAAGGGTCCTGA